CTATTCTCAGGTGGTCATACACTTATGTGCATTTAACTTGCATCTTAAAGGCATTTAGTTTTGACTTAATGCAACTTCTCACTTTTCTCCCTAGACTATGGGTTTTATCCTATATTGGGTTTTACCATAGCCATATGTTGTGAGTTTTACTACTTATGCATTCTTCTGTTTATTTTTCAAACACGCATTCGCTCATTAGGCTAACTAGATGAGACGACTTCATCAATTATTTCTACATCATCACATGAAGACCTAATGCACCATTTACTTGAGTATTTACACACTCAAGGGAGAGTATTGCAACCCTAATTTTATTAGGAGTATGATTGTGTAAATCCTAGTAGATTATGTAGAGAAATCCTATGAGATATAGAAGAATTTTTTCTTGTACAAATTGTATTAATTGCATAGCAAGTTTCTCTCTTCCTTATTAGTATAAATAAAGGCAATAGGTATGAGAAATATTACACACGTAATTCCTCAAGCCCTTCTTTCCCTTCTCTTCTTTCTGGTCGATCACTCTCTCTTTTCCCTCACTAAGTTCATACTACAACAAGCGAATTGTTAATTTAGCACGTTATTTCTAAATAAAAACTGACCAAAAATATTATTTAATCGAAGTTATTAATTTACCGAGTATTAAATATTGAGGTTTTACTGTACCTTATTATGCTAGTTAGTTAGTCTTTAAAACTTTGTCATTTAGAGGACACTTTAAAGATTCAAACCACCACCAAGGTCCTATTATCTATTTTTGTAAATATATAATTGATGAGTGCAACCACCTTCACCAAGAGAAACATGGTGTAGTATGCAAAAACTACTATGAGTTTTGGATTAGATTTTAAAAATCTTGTTCATTGGCTTCAACTTATTCAATGGCGCCACGTAGATTAATATATTTTTTTGTGCCCAAATGGAGGAATTCCACACCTTAAAATGAATGATTAATTTTAAAGAAATCCTGCAAGGCTAAAGATATATTAGCCCATTTTTTATCATAGAAGTTTTTAATCAGAGAATCACCCGTATTTTTACTAGCTTTGTGCCTTGAATCAAAATCAGAGAACATACCTAACTTAAAATTCTAATGTATTTCTACTATGTCATGGTTATTGATATTCCATTTATATGTTCATCATGCATGCATGCATGACCTTTCGGTTTGGTTTCGGCTCAGTTTTGGTTTTTTTTTATTTTATAAAACTTGATCTTTTTTTCAATATGGAATTTAAAAAATAGGCTTGAATTGATAGACTAATAATAAGAACATGGGAAAAGTTGGAAGGTAATTGTACGTATACAAGATGATATAAACCAATCATATTCTATCAACGACCTCAATTGAAAAAAAAAATTGATCACCATATTCATTCCAAAAGAAAACAAATAGAGAAACTCTTCCAAGTTCCAAAGGCTTCCAAAATTTTCCTTTATAACCAATGAAATATCCTCTATAATTGAACCAAGTATCCTTGAAAAAGTCCTAGGCATAGTTTGAAAACAAAGTTTCACAAAAGAAACATCATGGACATACATTAATAAAGTGTAAAGGAATTCGGTTTGGTTCAGTTTCCGAACCTTCAAAACCGAAACCGAACCAATAAAGTTCGGTTCAGTTTTTCCTTTTTTGGTTCAATTTTCTTTCGATTTTCGATATTTCGGTTTCAATTTGGTATTCGGTCCGCTTTTTTTCCCTCTTTTTAGCCCACCCCTGACAGTAAGCATAAGCTGCTGCAAAGCTTAAAGACTTTGAAGCCTTACGGGTTGGCACTGGCAATCACAGCTCGGCCAAGACGCATTACTGGTACTTGTGCGTGTATTCCAACAAAGTTTTGTGTCTTCCACTTCGTACTATATAATTGATTAATTAAATTCTTTAATAATTTCTAATTAAAAGTTTTTTTTTTTTAGTATATTGATATTTTTTTAGTTTGGTAAAGTCATATAATTGGCAGTCTAATTTAATATCGAATTCTTCATTCATGAGATTCGAATTTAAAACCTTTCATTTTCAAATAAAGAAAAAAACTACCAAAATATAATACTAAGTAACTAGATATATCATATAAATCAAACAAAAGAATATAAGCGTTAAAGCGTGTGGTTAGATACATCATATTTCTATGTCTGTATGGATCGCAAAGGCATCTCTAACTACCTAATCATTAGCCTCCTATTTAATAAACTATATGTATTAAAAAAACATTTCTGACTTTTTATGTGTAAGAATATGTTGAATAAAACTTAATAATGATAAAAAAAGGTAGCTTAATTTAAAGCTGTTGACTTCCCTTCCTATCTCGTTTTGCAGCTACCAACGTAATTTTACATGCCTATTAATGTTTTTTTTCTGGCTATTTCAGAGTTTCTCTAGGTGGACCTTTATAATTGGTTAGTTACAAGGGTGTATTTAACTTAGTGATTGTATTGAAATTGACTTCTAAATTCCAATGGAAAAAACCTTAATTTACATTTTAATTCTCAAACTTTTCTATTTTATTTGTAGCATCATTAGTATGAAATACCTGTGTGAGTCTTCTTAGTCTCCGAAATAAGTGGATAACCGTGATTTATGAGTTGCCACCAATTGTTCCTTTTTTAAAAAAGAAGGGGATATAGCACCACTAGTTTTTAATTAATTATCGCCAAGTCACATAATTCCTCTCCACTTCAACTTACAAGAAAATTTGGTACGCATCTTGCGTCGACGGGCTCTAGCACACAAAGCAATGAAGTATATTAAAATAAATCTCCAACCTGTACAAAGAAGAAAATAATTTTAAAAAGTTTCACACCCATTTTTGAAAGAGTGTGCCGGCTGTATACAAAAATTTGTAATATCGTTTGTCTTAATACGTAAAGATTAGTGAGAGTTTATAGACAAAAGGACATCACTAGCTATCCAAGCTAACTCTGAATAAACTTTTTATACCATTAATATAATATAATTTCGACGTGATACTTGTAGGGTTCGGAAACTTAATTTCATCAAGTAACTGACATAGTATTTTCAAAACAAAACACGTAGGATTAGTAAGGATTTGTTGTCTTTTGAATTTGAGATATGAGAAAAGTATATGTAAGAAACAAGAAATGAAGAAAGATGATTGGATTCATGAGAATAAATAAAGAAGAATGAAACAAAACAAAATCTTTCAACAGAAAACAACTTAAAGTACCTTTAATTTTTTAATTTGTAGTTTTCACTTTATGTCTTTCCTTGTACATTTCTCTCACCATCATCCTTCATTTACCCTTATTCATGTTCATTTTTCCATGCATTTCCCATATACCTCTAGCTAACACAGAAAGGAAAATAAAAAACCAAAAAAAACAAAATGGGTATCAAACGCGATTTAAAATTATTGTATTGTAACATTGTTGGTGATATTATAAAAGAAAAATACATTTTAGTACACACAAGCTATTGGATATCTCATATTGGAGATTTGAAAATACAAATTACAATTTATATACAAATGGTTCCATTCTTTATTATACTGAGGCATTTTAGGATAAAATCCCACAGCTCTTGCACTACATGTGGTTAAGTTGGGAATAATATCAGTGTTGAACCATTTGACCCCTCTCTTTGAAACTTTGACATGGTAGTAGAGTGGGTTTGTTTCAGCCTGAATAGCAGGTCTGTACTCTTTTTGGACCCCTATTGGGTCTGTTCCAATGTGTGTAGTATTCACATGTGGATCGTTAAGGATATAGTCCTACGTGAGGGGGCATGTTAGAAGTCTATCTTGTAGATTTGACAAAACAAATTACAATTTATGTACAAATGGTTCTATTCATATAATTACACCAATGTCTTTTAGGATAAAATCTCACACCTCTTGGGTTACAGGTGGTTAAGCTGTGGACAACATCGATGTTAGACCATTCAACCCTTCTCCCTGAAACTTTAATTTAGGCCTTGCTTAACATAGAGAATTGGCTTGAGTAGGACTACTCAATATATTGAAAGCATTTTTAAAGAAGAAATGGATGACAATTTTCTTATTTTGTCCAAGTTAAAGGTTACTTGTGGACAAAATAAATCGCAATTAATCCCCACAAAAATGATAGTATTAAAATTGACAACTATTCTTTATGAGTAACCATCAACTTAAACAAAATAAATTTATCATTCATTTATTCTTTTAAAATACGTTTAATATAGTAATTAGTTTTATCTAAGCCATTCTCTCTACCATTTTTTAACGGTCTTCAAAAGCACTCCTGTAAAGGACCCATGAGCATTGAAATTGATGGGTCATTTTTATGACATAAAAATACGAACCACACACCATTGTTTCTCTTTTGCACAAGTAATTTGAAATTAATCACATTGTTCACAAATTGTGATAAAAGGAAAAATCTCATTTATTCCCAAATGTCACAAAGTTGTTAGTTAATTAACTAGGACATAGTTCTTATCCAAATAAGGATAGTGTCATCCACACAGTTATTTTTACCTTCTCACACATTTAACTTAATTTCTAGTTTCGAATCGAATGAATAAAAAAATCAATGGACAAAAAGTGCGAGATAAAAAAAAATGTGTGAATAGCACTATCTTAAATAATGCCTCAGGTACTACCAAATTTGTGTGGGACATGAAAATAATGTATGTACTCTATATTTCGTTATAAAGTTGACATTATTTTGGACAGACGAATACCATGTGCTACATATGTACCACTTTATCTCATTTCTCATATGGCTTGAATTTTTTTGAAATGATAGATTTTGTTAGATTAGATGTTAGGTTAGCCACCGACGGGGTTCGAACCTACACCGTCATACAAGGACTCAACTTATTTCCACTAGTGTGGTAAAGGGCCACTTGCAGTATAATGGTAGTTAACAAGTATATTACTCTAAGTTACATTTTGAAAAATGTAAAGGTTCGAATCTGAGACGCAATGAGTTAAAAAATCATATCATATTAATCAAGACAATCTACCATTTAAAAATTGAATAAAAATTACCTATGAAAAGATCAATGAGAAATAAACAATAAAATTATATATATACACACACACACACACACATACATACATACATACATACATATATATATTACGGAACTGACGAACTTTCCCACCAGCCCAGATGTGAAATATTGGGTTAATTATCCTCAACCGTGCAATCAAATCACACTCAAATTTTTTCCCTCAGTCGATGATCTATTGACAATGTACAAATTTCTATACCGTGCAGATGACCACACAGAATCACCCCCACCACTCTCTCATTATTTTTTCCTCAATGACCTACTCGCTCGCACCATGCACATACATACAAGGCCTTACTAAATATTTCCCTCAGCAGGCATAGAACTCAACTAACTCGTTCAAGGACTCGGGCTGTGGATCGGCATTGTCGAGCATCCACAACAAGTGCTCGAACAGCACGACCTCGCATGCGACGTTGATCGTGTCGTCGTCTGACCTGTCGGCCAGCTCCTTGAAAAGCGGGTGGTCTACGATGTTGGAGGCCACAAGATAACGTCTTCGGGACTTACCCACGTAGACAGGGCGTAGGTCTCCTGAGATTACGTCCGTGAAGTAATCGTCATCGGCGGCGGAGACAACAGAATTGAGGCTGCGGCGGCTGTTCTGCTTGCTGAAGGAGTTCCACTTCTTCAGTAATGACTTGAGCTTTGTTAGCTTCCCACCTTTGGCCATTTGATATGAATAATGGTTTTTTCACAGAGAGAGAGAGAGAGAGAGAGAGAGAGAGAGAGAGAGAGAGAGAGAGAGAGTTGAGTAGTGCTGTGTTGCTTTGGGGGGATTTGGAAAGGGGAAGGAAGGTTCATATTTAAAGGGAACTTAGGTAAGGAAAAGGGGTGTAGTTGTAATATCCTTATATTATTGGGCCTAATTGCATGAGGAAATTTAAAGGGATTATTATGTGTGCTGTGACATATTTTATTTTTAGAAATTATAAAAAAAAATAGATGGGCACTTACGGCGCAAACAATCAACTTTGTAATGTATATGTAATCGGTTGTATAATTCAAATGATTAAAAATATTTTCTTTTACGCATTTTTATTTTAATTTGATTTAGAGTTTAGTATCGTAGACGTAATAGTGTGCTTTCACTTTTCTCAATTACGCACATTTATTCTAATTTTATTCAAAATTTGGTAACATAGATGTGAGACCGTACTTCCATTTTTCTTAGTTAATATAAAAACAATATGACGGAAATGTTTATTTTTATTTATCAATCTAATACAGATGAGGGTTTTCTTCATCATTTAGCTACACTTTTTTAGAATGCATATATATATATATATATGTTATGAACGATATATTTGTGAATACATCATCGGTAAACTTAACTACACTTTCAAAAAAACTGTGCAGTTAACCATGCACACTGAAGAGTAATTGCACTTATTCAAAATAATCAATTAAATTCAGTCTTAGGACATAAACATATAAAGTTGTTTAGTAAGCAAACATTACTTATGTTGGCTTTTGGCACACAGTGCCTTCAAAATTTGGTTGCTGCATGACGCTTACTAGAAAGTTGCTGGTCTCCATGATGGGAATGCATGTATATTGATTCCTTTTATAAAAACAAAACTGATTTAATTCTAATATTTTCCATTTCAATTTTAAATTACAAAAGTATTGTCAGTGAAAGAGACAAACATGGGCAGAGTTACCAAGAACGTCTTCGTCAAATCGATCATCCATAATTTTTTTTTGTTTTTGGAAACTCCATAATTTATTTGTTTGTATGAACTTTTTTATTGTTTTTTTTTCTTCTGGTAAACGGTTTGAGAAGGTGAATTTTAAAATTATTGAGAATTAAGAAGATGATCGTTGCCTCCATCTTCCAGAATATGGGCGCCAACAGCTGGTAAGTGGTAACAACTAACAACCTTCATTTTCAATATTATCAAAAAAGACAATTGAATTAATTAATGCACTTTATACAGGTTGAAATTGTCATTATAATATATATATATATATTTCATGAAAAATAATAAGACGAGATTAGTCTTTCGGCTATGATCACGTGCGAGGCATCTTTTCTCCCTCAAAGGGTTGAGAACCATTACACTCAAAACCCACCCGCCTGTCCATTCTCCACCAATTTTTTTTTTTTTTTTTATAATAAATGATAGTAAACAAAAAAGATACATGTAGAGGAACTATGCCAAGACTCACAATGACAAGAACGATCAACGAAAATGGTAAAAATTGTCACGAGCATGAGCAAAGGCTACAAAATCTGAAATTGTGGACCACCAGCATAAGCATAACTATCTGTCCCAAAAGAAGCTAAAACATCTACAACCTAATTTCCTTCTCTTTAAATATGTGTACACATAAATCGCTTTTGACGAAGCCGCCGAAGACAATTCTTCCAATCCACCATAAGAAACCACAAGACTCCATTAGGAGCCCTAAAAGATTGTAAATACCAATATGAACTTTGTTTTAATCCATAAATGAAGGCAAAATATGATGCTTTTAACTCCTTGCACTTTCTTTTAGAATAGTCATTAAAGAAGGAAATTCAACATGAGAATTTAGTGAATAAAGGTCATTTAACACTCAAACAAAGTTGTATTTTTATGATGAGGTTAATTACAACTAGGTATCAAACTATTACAAGTAAATATTTTTGTCAGGTTCACGCAAGTAGAGTTCAAACCTCCTTCAACAAAGTAACGACAACAACAGCTAATTAGTACGTTAGAGCATCCCCAGTGAGGAGTTTTATATGAGGCTGGAAAAGTGGTGGATATAGCTCATTTTAGAGCTCCAAGGAATCTTTGGAGCTTTATAAATATAAAAATAAAAATCTCCCAATGAGGGGCTATTTCTTTCGGGCTCTTCATGGGGTTGTATATATTTATTTATGTAATAATTTGATTATACGATAATTTTTTTTTGTGTTAACTTTTCTTAAGTTGATTTTTGGATGTATTATCTTTTTTTTTTTTTTTAATAAACCTTTCAACCTAAAAAAGTTCAAATTCTGAAAAAGTTAGATTTCATCACTTATAAAACGTTCGTTGGATTAGATTCTCTTACCTTAATCTCAGCTATTAAATGATACAAACCCCCAACTTTGCCCTATGAAATAATTTGATTTTCACATACAATCCAACAATTTACCTAGCACCAATTGGTGAGTTAGTATCATACAATTTTGAAAAAAAATTATTTGAAAATTTCACCCACCAATGTCCATGAACGTTAAATCAATTTGAAATTTTAATTCTTATTATGGAATTTAAAACAATCATTAATTAGACAAATTCCAATAAATTACAAAAAAAAAAAAAAAAACACAACCAAATGTTTCATCACATAATAAGGGGCATTGTAGCACTATAAAATTTTGTAATCTGAGTTGTAAAGCAAATTTAATGAATTTTTTTTGTTAAAACCCAGTAAACGGGTTTAAGTTGTGAAAAAATATATAGGATGTGTTAAAGTTTTAAGAGAGAAATCTAAATTTTAGATTAATAAAAGTGAGCATTTTTAGTAGAATAGTTTATTTCATTTAAGTCTTAAGCATTAAACATACAAACAAAATGTAGGAAGATCTTTGGAACAAAAATATATAAGAAAAAAAAATAAAAAATGAATAAAAGGAGAGTATAAGTGTATTTGCAAGTGGAGAGAGAGTGATAGAATTTGACTCACATGGGCAGTGGCGGATCCACAGAGGGACCTGAGAGGTCCCAGGACCCTTCAGCGATCCTAAATCGCTGCTAGAAATTTTCCGAGGACCCCTCATGCAGTGCGGGTTGCAGGTAAGACATATTCTTGTCGGAGAAGAAAGAAAATAATTGGCCCAAAAATTTCAACCACCAATGTCCATGAACGTTAAATCAATTTGAAATTTTAATTCTTATGGAATTTAAAACAATCATTAATTCGCCAAATTCCAATAAATTACAAACAAACACAACCAAATGTTTCATCACATAATAAGGGGCATTTTAGCACTATAAAATTTTGTAATCTGAGTTGGAAGGCAAATTTAATGAATTTTTTTTGTTAAAACCCAGTAAATGGGTTTAAGTCGTGAAAAAATATATAGGATGTGTTAAGTTTTAAGAGAGAAATCTAAATTTTTAGATTAATAAAAGTGAGCCTTTTTAGTAGAATAGTTTATCTCATTTAAGTCTTAAGCATTAAACATACAAACAAAATGTAGGAAGATCTTTGGAACAAAAATATATAAGAAAAAAAAATTAAAAAAATGAATAAAAGTAGAGTATAAGTGTATTTGCAAGTGGAAAGAGAGTGAAAGAATTTGACTTACATGGGCAGTGGCGGATCCACAGAGGGACCTGAGAGGTCCCAGGACCCTTCAACGACCCTAAATCGCTACTAGAAATTTTCCAGGAACCCCTCATGCAGTGCAGGTTATAGGTACGACATCTTCTTATCGGAGAAGATGACTGGAGAAGAAGGAAAATAATTAGCCCAAAACAACAGAGTTTTGGCCAATTGTTTTAAATTGTTTTTAAAATCCCACCCAAGGTGTTTGCCCATTGTTTTAAATCCCTCCCCCAACCCACATCATTCCCCACTGTCCCACCCTTCCCCCATTTCCCGCTCTTCTGCTTTCCCCAATGCCCAATAACATATTCAACCAAATTTCTCTTCTGCTTCCCCCAATGCCCAGCTTTAACATATTCATCCAATTTCCAATCCCCAACTCCTCAGATTTCAAAACCCTAAAATTCTAAATCCCACACCCAGTCCCATGTTATAATTTTATTACTCTAATATCGTACCTCCCCAAATCTCTAGGCCACCACTATTTGGTTCACAATTCAAGTAAGTTTTTTGGTATTGTAATCTAATCTCAATTAAATTATATTAGATATTGATGAAGATTTTTAGTCTATTATTGATATGATTGTTGATATGTTTTATGTTTATACTCATTTGATCATTAGAATTTAGATGGAATTTTTGTTTATTGGGTTATTGGTATATGTTTTGTATTTTTTGTTAAATGTGTAGTTTAGAAATAAGAAATAAGGAATTTTTGTTTATTGGTTAATTAGTATATGTTTTGTGTTTTTTGTTAAATATGTAGTTTAGAAGTACGAAATATGGAAAAAAAATTCAAGCCAAAGCTAATAGGACCATCTATTTGTTCAAGCTCAAGACAAAAGGACCATATTTTCAATGTTATTTTTGCCTATAAATTTTTTGAGCTTTATTAATAGGATCCCCTTGGTTTTAAATCCTATATCCGTCACTGCACATGGGTTGCTACTTTTCTCGTGGGACCCACTGTTTTTTGGGGTTTGATGTAGCCTAATTTTATGTTATCCAAGAAAGGAAGTTGCTAGCCAAAATAGTGGATCTAACACCATTTTTCAGCTCATTGGAGATGAAATTTCTCACTAAGACTTCAAATGTAGTAGCTCATGGAGGATAAAGCCCCCATTAGGAATGCCCTTATGTTCATATTAAAAAAAAAAGAAAAAAAAAACGAGCCTAAAAAGTTTAGGGTTGAAATTAAATAAAGGAAAATATTGTAACTACTCCGAGCTTATGCCTTATGATAACGTGCGTAAGGAGATGAAATAATATAAGTTTGGGCACCATCGACATTAAAATTAGTGGTCACTTAACCATGATATAGTTTGGCATTTTATAACAAATCTTGATAAAGATACATGACGGCCGCTGGTGAGCAAAATCATGTGAACAATACATGGACTTGGCATGTCCTAGAATATTTGAGCCATGTCTACAGACTAGTAACATATGTCAGGCCTTACCTCCCCCACGTGGATTTGTGCAACCAAGTATAACTAGTGGTAATGGACTCATAATCTTGTCAAATTATTTCGAATATTGTATGTCCAATAATGGTTAATCCTAACCTCATATTTAACTAATTGCATTTTGATTGATTATCTATAAAATATTACTGTACTAGATAATCCTAGATGTTTTAATCATGTCATGTTCTCCATAAATCAGTTTAAACAAATTCGTCTTTTATGTCTTTTCTTGGGAGAAAATTTAACTTAAAAGTTAAAACCTCTTCTAACATTAAGAATAGAAGGAGCATGCATTACACTAATAACTAGTTGACACTCGTATTATGTATGAGTTTCTGTCAAAACTCTATCTTACGAACTTTGTATTAAAGGAAAACTAATGAAAAAGACTAGAAAACTTTTAGTTTTAACGATAAGAACAAAATGAAAGGTAAAATGAATAGTATCCGGATTGACTTTTTAGTGTAAAAATATGGTTTTTCGTTAAAGTGAACAGTACCGGGAACTTTTCATTAAAGTTCCCTTGTATTAATTGGTTGTGTTAGTATCTTAATTACGAATCTCATAGTCCGAAGCCGACGGACCAAAGAATTTTAACCACTTATTTTAAATTGTACTCCATTAGCTCATTTTACTGACTCACCTCACACAAACTAAGGGTCTAAACCTCTCTCTCCCTCTCTTGAATGGTCTAGATTACTCCATCCATCGGCTTCAGATTGTGAGATCCGGGAAGGACCTGATTTCCAATTGTAAACAATACCACATAGGCACAAAGTAAATAAGATACTCAAAATCGCAAAAAGAAAGTAAATGATTTAGGAATTTAGATCATTTCCGAATCTTATGGTCCGAAACTGACGGATCAAAAAATCCAGGCTACTCATTTTAAATCCTTCAACAAATTAAAGAACCATATTAGTGGAACCACAGTTGATTTGAGAAGCTAGTAAGCTACGAATTGCAGAGGACATTTGTAATGATTGAAAGACATACAAGCAATGAGAAACATGGACGCCGAATATAATCTTGTCATGTTGTATCCAATGATTTAGTTCGTAATTAATTAGTGATAACATCAACTAATCATGACCGATGCATAGTATATTATCGGACTTGGTAGATCAATTTCTTAATCATTCATTCATTAGCTCTGCAGATAATACATGTCTACTTAAGCACTAATAAGACGACCCTAATCTCCAGAAGGGAACAAAGATTAATGGATTAAACACAGCAAATCGTGATACGTGGTTGAGAGTAATTGGGAGAGAAGGTGTTCAAGATTCTTTGTGTCCTCCTATATATTCAAACGTCAATTTATATTTAGTTGTTTCTATACAACGTTATATTTACATCAGGTAGGTGGGGTGAGATCGGTTAATTAACGACACAATGATTAGTCATAATAACATAAAATCAAATTTGTTGTACGATAAGAAAAAATCCAACTAAAATCTTTCACTTATAAACAACAAATACTACTCATCCGTAATGTTAAATAATAATTTCCTTTTGTTCGTCAATTCGAAAGCTATGTTGCATGATGGGCCAAGTAAGTTTGGTCATAATCAAAGAGCAGAAAAATGATGTGATTAGACTGATTAGTAGAGATATGCAATCTGATCTCTGTTGGAGACACAATCTCATAATCTGCAGGTGGGTATGTATGTGACAAAGAGCATATGAACAAATCTATGCCACATTTCGTGAACAACATAATTATTTGCTCTTTCCTATCAAGAAAAATTTAAAAAAAAATTATTATATATGGACAAGAAAATTTTCAAAATTGATTCCTACTGATTGGATAAAATAAATTGGAACAAAATATTAAAAGATATTGATTGGATTGAACATAACTAAGTAGATACATGACCTCAATATGATGTGTCTTTATTTCTGTAGCAATGGGCAATAATATATATAGGTTTCAAATCACGTGCTTAGGAAAATCTGGTTGACCCCATTTAAACATTAATGCAATTATCTTATCATATATGAATCTGGCTGTGTTATTAGTTTTGTCTTGCTGCTTTCTGATGCTCATATTTATCTGTTATCATAGGCGTGAAAAATCAAGGCATAAGATAAAATATTTACTGACATTGTGTTTGATCATGCATCAAGCTAAATACTATAATATGTTGTGCAAATTTTTTTGAAAGTAAATGGAAAACACTATAAGATGATGTAGTAGATGTTATTTTCTATGTAAAAGCGGTATTCTAGAACAAATTCATCTAAACTACGGCGAGAGAGATTCGAACTCAAGTGCATAAGAGAGAGAACACTGTTTTAGTATAATGTAATAGATGTTAGTTGATTGAATTGTTGCACTCCCTTTCTCCAACTCGGGTTTTGTCCCACTCAGTTTTCTCGAGGTAAGGTTCTAAATTTCTAATGACATAAAGGATTGTAGAAAATTTGGCTTCTTCCAGACAAATTAGACTTTGCCATAATGTAAAGGAAAAACATTTTTCTTTTTGTAGTTTTAATATGATGATTTTGTATGTGTGTTAAATTGATGTTTGCGGTTAAATGAATAACTTCTTACATGTAAACGGGCAAACAATGTTGGCCTTCCCCCTTGAACTAAAACCTAAACCTCCCCACCGTGCTGTTGGAATCGAAGGATTTGAAGTTCATGATGAAATTGATTTTACAGGATAATGAAGGTGGGCCTGCCTAATGGGTTTCATCATGAAAAAGTATCCATAAGTGGACTATTCCAACACTCACAAGAGGCTTGGACTCTTGGTAGGTCCATTTGAGACTAAAATGTGGGCTGGCTACAATAAGCCCGTTCAAATCGAAGAGTATACTTGGGCCACGTAAGAAAAAATCAAATCCCTAATGAGCTACGAAATATACTAAAGAAAAATTACATAACTACTGAGAAAAAGAAAAGGGGGATTCTACTTTGCCGGCATATCTCAATCGGACATATATGTATAATCACTTTCTAAGATTTCTTAGGGCTCGTTTGGATGTGCTTTTAAAATAACTTAAAGCATTTTTAAATAAAATGTTTTTGGGTTCCAAAAACACTTTAAGTGCTTTTTCTAAGAAGCACTTTAAGTTCTTTTCAAGGATTTACTAACATTTTTTTCTAAGGATTGCTTTCAAAAATATTGTTGGTCTTAGAACCAGAAAAAAATAGGTTGACTCTTCAATTGAATTGAATCAAAATAAAATTCCATTTCACTAAAAGCGCTTTCAGTTATTTTAAAAGCACATCCAAACGAGCTCTTAGTAACACTTAAAAATAAAATTGTGCGTTCACCAATAATTAAAGAACAAAGAGAAATGCAAATGATTGTTTTGAAGTGTCAATAACAATACTCTTCTCTTTGTGATTTTAATTTGCATGTTATGCTGAGAAAAATGACTTTACACGTCTAATGATCATAACGTTATGTTATTAAATTAAAATGTCACCTTAATCATGTACCCCGTACACTGAGTCCTCCTCCTAGCACGTGGAGCTGGAAAGCGAAACTTGTACCACAAGGCAGGCGCGGCCTCCTGCAAATATATGGACGGTCGAAGTTTACGTATTGGTTGCTCTCGTAAAATTGCCTTATAGTGCATTTTATTTCCTCTTTAAATATTACTTGAAAATATGGACCGTTGAAGCTCCTTTCTTTCGCTCCCGCCTGTTCTTCTTTTCTGACCAATCAGGTCGGATCCCTCCAACCTACTTTCCATCCACCGTCTTCTTCTCCACCGTCTATGTCACTCTCCATCACAACTCTCTCTCTCTCTCTCTCTCTCTCATTTTTTCGAAAACCCAAAAACGATGAGCAATCTGAGCTCGAATCTCACCCACCAGTCTGCCTTCACTCCCTGTTTCTCGCCCAGGCACGCTTTTCAGATCCACGAGTTCAGCGTCTTCCGCCGCCGCAGACTCAAACCCGTCCCGCGAAGCCAACTCGGAATCGGAATCCCATTCCACGAATTCATTTCCCGATTCCCGTCCCCCAATTCCCTCGATTTCATCGCTCCGGTTCTCGGATTCGTCTCCGGCGCCACTCACTTCCTCTCCAACAATCCGAACTCGAACCCGAACCCGAACTCGGTCGAGAGGAAATTCGACTCGGATATCGGGGAGTGGGTTATGTTCACCAGTCCGACGCCGTTTAACCGGTTCGTGCTGCTACGGTGTCCGACTGTGTCGTTTCAATGCAGCGAATTGCTAGAAGACTTGAACAAGAAGCTGGTGAAGGAGGACAGGCACTTCGTGCGCCTGAGTAGCGGCAGAATCCGATTTGATTTGGGAAGCGAAACGGGGAGTTTAGTGGAAAAGAAATTCGACTATCAGAGACTGTGTATAAGTACGGACGACGGAGGAGTAGTATCTTTGGATTGGCCAGCCAATTTGGATTTGAGAGAAGAGTATGGCTTGGATACCACCTTGGTTCTCGTGCCGGGCACGGCAATGGGAAGCTTGGATTGGAGTGTCAGGTCGTTCGTGTGTGAAGCTCTCCGGCAAGGCTGCTTTCCGATTGTTATGAACCCGAGGGGCTGTGCTGGTTCGCCTCTCACCACGCCGCGGTATGTTCATTCACTCAATCATTTCAGTGAGACTAGGATTATGTGTTTGTGAATTGTAGTTCAAAACTTGAAATAATGGGTTATGTTTGGACATTTGAAATATTGGATTGAGTATTGCCTTTATTATATATAGCTAAGAAGTGGGTCTGCATTTGTTTTGGATTTTATGTTTTGGAAGGCTAGGATCATGTGTTTGTGAATTAAAGTTCAAAACTTGGAGCAGTCGTGGGCGGAGCCACATTGGATAGAATGCGTGTGCACCCCCATATGCACCCAAGTTCGATTCTCCTCATAGTTTAGCTTAGTTTAAAGTAGAATATCACTTGTATCAAAAAGTTTAAAACTTCAAAATTTATGGTTGGAAATTTGGTATCTTGGATTGAATATTGCCTTTGTTATATATAGTTAACGAAGTGGCCTGGGTTTCTTGTGGATTTTTTTTTTCTGTTTTTGGATTTTGGGAGAATCACAAAGTGGTGATCGTAGGGCTACTTAAGCTACTTCATGTTATGTAGGTTATTTTCAGCTGCTGACAGCGATGATATCTCCACTGCTATACAGTTCATCACTAAGGCGAGGCCGTGGACCACATTGATGGGTGTTGGCTGGGGTTATGGTGCTAACATGTTGACGAAGTACCTGGCAGAAGCTGGGGAGAGCACACCGCTTACAGCTGCCACCTGCATTGACAATCCTTTTGACTTAGAGGAGGCCACTAGGTCCTCTCCTCATCAGACGGCTATTGATCAGAGTCTCACTGATGGTTTCCTAGATATTCTAAGATCTAACAAGGTGGTTAATCAGCTTGAAACTTCTACAATAGTGCAAATTCATTACCTCTCAGGCTTTCCATCTATTACGAAACAAATTTCTACTTATTTCTTAATGTGGTTGCCATCTAATTATGTTCAACCCTTTACTTTGCGAAAACTATCCCTTACTGCTAGTAAATTATGCTATATGCATGCCTGGTTTTGTAGGAACTGTTTCAAGGAAAACCAAAAGGGTTTGATGTGGAACAAGCGCTTTCAGCAAAATCTGTTCGTGATTTCGACAAAGCAATCTCCATGGTATCTTATGGTTATGAGGCCATTGAGGATTTTTATTCCATATCAAGTACAAGAGGTGTGATAGGGAATGTGAAGATCCCCGTCCTATTTATACAGGTGCATACGTAGTTGTCAACTCAATGCTATGTTCTTCAACATTGACAAGAATACTTGTTTATTATACACTGATAGTTAAAATCTGTCAATTTATCAGAAAGATGATGGATCAGCGCCACTCTTCTCAGTTCCACGCAGTTTGATAGCAGAAAATCCATTCACAAGCCTACTGTTGCGGTCTTATTTGTCCTCTACTGTTACTGATGGTGGTGGATCTGCTCTGTCGTGGTGCCAGCACATAACAATTGAGGTAATCGTTGGTTTTGTTTCTCTTTGAGGTTAATGAAATTTTGTTTATCACTGTATCATTAAACCACCTCATGCTGAAGATTTGATGGAATCTAAGTTTGCATTTTGATATTCTGATAAGAATGCATGTGGTATGTGCAGTGGCTCACAGCAGTAGAGCTTGGACTTTTGAAGGGCCGTCACCCTCTTCTTAAAGATGTAGACCTACCCATAGACCCTTCAGAAGGTTAGCTCTTGTGGAAGGCAGACTGTTCAACAATAGTGGTTCCAAGCTGTTGGATCTTTCCCATTCAGATTCTTTAAATGGATATTCTGCAGGTCCCGCAGACAAAATGCCAGAAGAAAATGATACTGCTGCCAGCTTCAGGATACGCTCCAGAAAGGACTCCGAGAGAAAGTACGAGGTCCAAAACACAGGGTTGCAGGATGTGGATAATGGAAAGGACTCCGACAGAAAGTCAGAGGTCCAAAACACAGGGTTGCAGGATGTGGAAAATGGTTCCCTGGATCAGACTAACTCTGATGATCGAGAATTGGTCAATGAGGAGGAAGTCAATCCTGTAGATGAAAAAGGTCAAGTACTACAGACAGCAGAAGTTGTTATGAACATGCTAGATGTAACCATGCCTGATACTCTTACAGAAGAAAAGAAGAAGAAGGTGGTGCTCGAAATTGCGGTTTCATGCTATTGTTTTACTTTTGTGGTTGTTTTAATGTTAATTTCATATGTTAATTAGGGTCTTTGATCTTCTCTATGTATGTTTCTGGTCTATCCAAATCAAATAATGTACCCGATTTAAATTTTATCTCACATTTATCTGGTATATGGGCCCAGGTCTTAACAGCAGTTGATCAAGGAGACACGCTGATGAAAGCTTTGCAAGATGCAGTGCCGGAAGATGTTCGTGGAAAGCTAACATCTGCTGTTTCTGGAGCTCTGCATACACAAGGAACAAAGCTAAAGTTTGATCAACTCTTGGGTGTTGCTCGGATTCCTGACATGTCTTCAGGTCTAAAGTCAAAGATCGAAGACAAGGTCATGGAAACATCAAGTTCAGAAGGTGTACAGAAAGAAAATTGTTCGTCGGATCTGTTGAAAAAGCATGGTGATCTGGTGGATAGCTCAATTAACGAACTACCGGATGCAAACAAGCCTCCAGGGGGACTAGAATCAGAGGATCCTCCCGCAGAGGGATCAGAAAAGATTTCAAATCTAGACCAGTCACAGTCATTGAGCAGTCAGGAAAGTGATATTTCTGGTTCTGTCGGAAAGGACTCTAGCAAATCAGGAAATGATTCTTCCAAAGAAAAGGCTTCCGAAGATCTTTCCAACAGTGAAAAGAGTTCAAACCTAGATCAGTCTCAATCACTGAGCAGTCAGGAAAGTGATATTACTGGTTCTGTTGGAAAGGACACTAGGGAATCAGGAAATGACAAGTCTTCCAAGGAAAAGGCTCCTGAAGATCTTTCCAATAGTGAAAAGGGTTCAGAACTAGAAAAAAATCCTAACAATTCCAGCCAGGTTGAAATTGTCGGTGGCACTGAGGAAGCAGTTGTAGAGGAGCAGAGAGACCAAGATGGTAGAAACACTCCGTCAGACATGAAGAAAGAAGAAGAAAACGATATCCAGAAGAAGGATAATAAGAATGTGCAGCCCGTGGCAGACCAAAGTAAGAACTTCAGTGTTTCTGAGGCATTGGATGCATTGACAGGGATGGATGATAACACCCAAATGGCAGTCAACAATATTTTTGGTGTTATAGAAAATATGATAACTCAAATGGGGGAGAGTTCAGAACAGGAAAGTGAAGTAAAAGAAGTTGATTCTGTGGCACAGTCTGAATTTGCAGAGGACCATGTCAATGATGACAATAGTCAAGAAGATTCAGAAGCCAGTAAGACTGACCAAAATGTACAAATGGATACATTAAGCAATGTCCGTGTATTTGATCACCCTGGGAATGGTATGGATTTGCAACCTGATGCACCAAATGGATGGGTAGAGAAGTCTAATCATACCCCCCCGTCAGCTTATAGGAATACTTTGAACAATTCTCAGGGAAGTGATGCAGTTAACAACATAGATGACGATAAAAATGAAAAGAAAGATGAACTGGTTGGTCCAAATCTTCTTGCTGGAAGTGTAGACAAACTTAATCATGAAAAGAAGGCTCCAGTTTCCATAACTTCAATTCCAAATGGGGTGAATACTCTTCTTTCAAAGGTACCTGACGAATCACTTGATTTAGATTCAACCACCGCTCTGTTGTTGGACTATTTTCCAGAAGAAGGTCAGTGGAAGCTCTTAGAAAAACCAGGACATGTTTCCGATGGTACCGTTGCAACTCATAGGGGTATTGACAGTAAGATTCACACCCATTCACCTGCAAAGGTAAATGGTAAAGTTATCGAACCATCATATGCAATATTAGATACAGAAAGGCATCAGGAACCAGTGAAAGAGTATGAAACGGTGGAAAATATTGAGGGGAGAGTCAAAATTGGTGAAGAGAAAGTAGGGGAGTTTATGCGATTTGTGAAAAATATTATATTGAATACTTTGAAGATTGAAGTGGGTCGCAGAGTAAGTGAAGATGACATGAAAAATATGGAACCCTATCTTTCCAAAGATATGGAACAAGTGGCTAATGCAGTTTCATTTGATGTTGGATATGACAAGTATGCTCCATGTTTGGAAGTTGAATACCATAGTATTATTGACTGCACTACACAAAAAGTTGGTACTCTCCATGGTGAGCATATAATAAGAGCCATATCATCTTCTGTTCAGGGCACTAGTTACTTGAGAAGAGTGCTGCCAATTGGTGTTATAGTAGGCTCGAGCCTAGCGGCGCTGAGAAAATATTTTGATGTGGTTACGATCCATAACTATGGTCAAATAGAAGCTCTGACGCTTAGTCGAGCAAAAGTTTCTGGAAAAAAAGATCTGGGCAAGGCTAGTGGCACAGAGATTCAACACATGCCTGTTGATAAATCTGATCGAAGTGCTAGCTTGGACAGTTCAGTTAACAGGGAAGGGGAAAAGAACTGGTTGAAGAATATAAACAACAGTGTTATGGTTGGTGCTGTTACAGCTGCCCCAGGGGCATCTGCATCTGCATTATTCGTGGAGCACCAGGTAATCTGTTCATTTCTTCAGACATTTTTCGTTTTATAAAATGGTAGCTATACAAGTAGATGCCCGTGCAAAATTGGTTTTAGGGCTTTTATTTCTTGAACCACTGCCCAAATTGGTAGTTACTAGACAACCTAGTGTCTTCTTTGACATTAACTTGCGGAAATCTTCCCATTTGTATTGAGACAGCTTTACTATGATTATTTCCACTGTTTATTATGAACTGGTTCAAAATCAGTTATTTTGCATTTACCTTCCTTTTGGTGTTGTTCTGTTATTCTTATCAGTACGAGCGCTGCCTAAGATGATGTACATATTGTTGGAACCCCCAGTCCCACATCGGACAGAGGGAGAAGAGAAGAGTGCTTTAAATAGAAATACCTCTCTCTAACTAACATCGAGGCCTTTTGTGATAAAACCCCACACCTGAGGATTGTGCAGATGGTTAAGTGGGGACAGTATCGGTGTTGTTGGAGTGGGCCCTCGGCCCGTCGACCTGAAAATTTCTACATGGTATCAGAGCCAGGAGGCGGGCCCGTACTGCCCCGTGATTGGGTGGGTCCCCGTTGGCCCCGCGTGATTGTCCACGTAGGCCAAAGATGCCACGTGTTTGGGTGGGTCCCCATTGGCCCCACGTGATTGGGTGAGTCCCGACATGGCTCCACGTGGTTGCCGATGTGTGGAAATTCACGTGTGACCCATAAGTGGGGTCTCACGTGCGGGGGAGTGTTGGAACCCCCAGTCCCACATCGGACAGAGGGAGAAGAGAAGAGTGCTTTAAATAGAAATACCCCTCTCTAACTAACATCGAGGCCTTTTGTGATAAAACCCCACACCTGAAGATTGTGCAGGTGGTTAAGTGGGGACAGTATCGGTGTTGTTGGAGTGGGCCCTCGGCCCGTCGACCAGAGCCAGGAGGCGGGCCCGTACTGCCCCGTGATTGGGTGGGTCCCCGTTGGCCCCGCGTGATTGTCCACGTAGGCCAAAGATGCCACGTGTTTGGGTGGGTCCCCATTGGCCCCACGTGATTGGGTGAGTCCCGACATGGCTCCACGTGGTTGCCGATGTGTGGAAATTCACGTGTGACCCATAAGTGGGGTCTCACGTGCGGGGGAGTGTTGGAACCCCCAGTCCCACATCGGACAGAGGGAGAAGAGAAGAGTGCTTTAAATAGAAATACCCCTCTCTAACTAACATCGAGGCCTTTTGTGATAAAACCCCACACCTGAAGATTGTGCAGGTGGTTAAGTGGGGACAGTATCGGTGTTGTTGGAGTGGGTCCCTCGGCCCGTCGACCTGAAAATTTCTACACATATCACTATGTCAGATCCCATTGCCTTATCCTCTATTTTTGTGTTTATTTGAATTTGTTCTTTGTGAAGACAAAGTCAGCTGACTTTATCTATTTTTATATGTTGCTACTCATTATGCTTATATACAAACACACAGGATTCGTACAAAGGTGATGAAACTTCTGGCGAGAGTTTGTCCAAGTCGTTGGTGAAAGGTAAAGGTCAGAAGGAGCCTGACATGTTTGAGGAGGCTGAGAAAAACCAAAGTAACATTGTCACAAGTCTTGCTGAGAAAGCCATGTCAGTTGCTGCTCCCGTGGTACCCACCAAGGAAGATGGTGAAGTGGACCAAGAAAGGTATTAACACAAGATATATGTATTTCCAATATGTACAGACGTACCACTACTTTCTTTTACTAATTTTGTAACCCCTTTGCAAATAGATTAGTCACAATGTTGACAGATTTGGGACAAAAGGGTGGCATGTTGAGGTTAGTTGGAAAAGCTGCTTTGCTTTGGGGTGGTCTACGTGGTGCGATGAGTTTGACTGACAAGCTTATCCAATTTCTTGATATAGCTGAGCGTCCCTTAATCCAGAGGTATTGTGTAAGTTGTCTTGAGATTAACTAGATAGGTTAATTCTAATTACTGCTTTAGAAAGGCAAAAGGGAAGTCTTTATCTCAAAATTATTCGGGGTACAAATTTCTATGTTCAGGAAGTTAATCTGTATGTTGCATCATGCATTCGCGAAATCGGAGATCTAATTTCATATAGTTTGTTGGGTTCCTTTGGTTTGCATGGTGATCTTTTTCCATTTATGCCCAGATTCTGTTCTTGATTATTTTATTTCCTGATATGCTCTTTTATCTTGATTTGCTTCTGTAGGATTTTTGGGTTTGTCGGTATGGTTCTTGTTTTGTGGTCACCAATTGTTGTTCCACTACTTCCATCATTTTTGCAAAGCTGGACAACCAATACATCCTCTAGAATTGCTGAACTTGCTTGCATTGTTGGCCTCTACACGGCTTTTATGATACTTGTTGTGATATGGGGCAAAAGAATACGTGGATATGAAAATCCTCTTCACAGATATGGGCTAGATTTAACGTCATTGCCAAAGGTATGTGTTAGCTGAAATTGTGGACATGTACTCTAAGATCATGCAAAATAAGATAGTGTTCTTTACTTGCAGTTGTATGATTTTTCATCTCCTTGCTTGCAGTTAGGTGATTTTTTGAAGGGCTTGGTTGGTGGAGTTGCCCTTGTTTTGTCAATACACTCAGTAAGAGCACTACTTGACTCTGCGAATCTCTCTTGGCCCTCCACTCCATCTTCTTTGGATGCTGTCTCACAGCTCAAATTGTGTACGCAAGGGCTTGTGATGGTTGGTCAAGGAGTTATAGTAGCTACTGGTATTGCTCTTGTGGAAGAATTGCTTTTCAGGGCATGGCTGCCCCAAGAAATTGCTGCAGATCTTGGATATCATCGAGGAATAATTATATCAGGACTTGCGTTCGCTTTATCCCAGAGGTTTCTTTCTATTCATTTTACTTTACTCATCGCCTGCTAAAATCAGTGCTTTCTTTTTGTCTTCTGTACGCTTACTGGAATCAATATTTACTATAATCTTTTAACCCTTAAGGTGGCCTCAGTTTCTGCTATTGTTGTGATTTACACGATCAGCGCAATGCAATACTGGACTTTTCTGCATAATGATTTCTGCTGACCACGTGCAAGACAAATCTAACAGCCCTTTTATTTCAATGGAATTTCAGGTCTCCGCTATCAACACCAGGTCTATGGCTTCTATCTTTGGGTTTAGCAGGTGCTCGGCAAAGAAATGAAGGCAGCCTTTCCATACCAATTGGGTTGCGTGCAGGAATTATCGCTTCAATTTTCATCATACAGAAGGGTGGCTTCCTGACCTACCGGGGTAACTTTCCTCCCTGGCTTATGGGGACACAGTCATTCCAACCGTTTAGTGGGCTAATTGGTTTTGCATTCACCTTAGTTTTAGCACTAGCTCTGTACCCTACACAGCCTCTTCGTGAAGAGAATGCAGAAAGGACAACTGAAGAATTTAAGAAACATCATGCTGGTGAATAGTGAGGCGGTCTTCTTGTTGCTTACTGATTGTGTTTGCCTGGATACTTCCACCTTGTAACGGGAACAGCCTCGGGCCATGGAGTTCAAGCATGAAAGTTTCAGAAACAGAGACGTTTCTTAAAAGTTCAAAGTGCTTCATGGGAGCTTTTTGTCCCTAATGCTACAACTCGCCAAGGCGATGGTCATAGTGTGTATATACACAACCACAGACCCTGCAGGCAAGTTTTGTAACTTGGAAATAACGGCACCAAAGTGCTGGTAGTTTAGCTCATTTTGCTTGTTTGCTGTTATATATTATGTATAGAGTGTACAGAACGAATCACCACCAGTCTGGAACCCTACTTATATATCATGTGAATTCGTTCTTATTCCGATTCCATATACGCAAACAAGACATAAAAATGATGTCCGACAACTTGCCATGTTTTTCGTTTCGTGATTTCGTATATTTACAGAATGGTTCTACCTTCTTTGTAAATACAGAAATTCACTCAAAATTCTTACGAGCCATAAGAGAGTGGAATCCCACTGGTCTGAATCCAGTCACCTTCCCCATGCAAAAACAACCCAACTGTAAACTGCCTCACAATCTCCCCACTTTGACCACCCCGGGGGTGTATCATATCCCCCAACTAACTCTTCATCACAACTCTCCTTGAACAGTTCCTCCATGGCATTCCCAAAAGCGTCGTGAAATTTTGCCTCTTGGTCTTGTTAAATTCCGGTGCAGGGACAATGGTGCACTTCTGTAGTGAAATGCCGGTGTTCTGATTCCGGTCCGTTCTGCCTTGTGCAGTGATTGTCACTTTCTGTCCTGGATTGGTTTTCGCACAACCACCCCGCAGTTTTGGAAGACTGCAGCTGCATTTCCAAAATGAAATCAATCGTGCCTTGGATGATGCAGTCGCGGTAGCACTGGCAAAGCGAATGGACGTGGAGGCTGTCTTGGTATGAACTGAAGTTGCAGTGGTAGAAGGCAGAGTTTGAGGTCACTCTTGCAGCAACCGCCTGGAACTTTTTTGAGCCCTCTGTGTTGGTTATGGTCAGGTCCCTAGCTAATAGCTGCAAACATCAGAACAAGGAAAGGGTTTAACTTTCTTTCATCAAATTTCAGATACATATAAGAAGAAGGCCAACAACACACAAGACTTTAAATAATTTCCGGAACCACGAAAATGTGACATACTTAAACCCTGGCTAAGAACCCCCGATTACAGTAGTAAAGATCCGAAAACACCCAAAGGGTTTAACTTTCCTTCATCAAAATTCAGAAACACCAAAAAAAAGAAAAAAAGAAAAAGAAAGGCCAAGAACACCATTAGAACCAAAATCAAATCAAATCAAAATTTTCGGAACCGAAAAAATGTGACATACTTAAAGTGGCTGTAGCAAAGGTGGAAAATCCATCTGCAAAGCTCTTAGTCCGTTTGATTATTGTTGATTTCATTCCATCTCCAACAAGCATGATATTATACTTTTCACTGCCGACCTCTACAGTCTCATTGTAAACACGGGATTTGAGTAAGCGGAAGACCAAAATTTGTAGACAAAATTTGCAAACTAAACGATGGATCACCATAGAAATGAGCACGTTTATCAACACTTAATAAACCAATCATCAACTTCCATGTTGGCTCAACGATGGATTTTCAAGCACACTGGATGTGGCTCGACGTTGCCAACTAGGCTTTTTGTTCGACTTTTGGCAAAAACGCCATGTCTACGAGGAGAAAAGATTACCTTCAGCAAGCATGGAACTCGTAATCGAAGAAGTTGAGAAACGGCGCATGCAACTCGTTGCCTCGGCCTCCAGAAACGCCATCTACAAACTGACCTTATGTGACATCTATGTGGCGGCAAATACTGTGATTGCCTTGGGGGGCGCTTTACAAATACGGTTTATCAGTTGCCGAGCTCATCGTGAACGCCTGTATCATCCAGGGATTTAACCCCGTATTCATTATAAACAGCTATGGTAAATATTAAGGGCCTTCCAGTGATAACAGTGTTCTTGATATATAGCACCAAGGAAACCAGAAAATACGATAGAGAAGGGTGAGAAAGAATGATAGAAAATAGAGATAGAGAGAAATGATATATTTGTGTATTACAATCTTATTTTTCCTTACAAGATCTTTAACACTTATATACACAAGTGTTATCTTATCTCTTAAGCTTTTTAACAACCCAACTCTAACTAACTAACTGTCTTTTATATCATTTTTACATATTTTGACCTTAACCATACTACCCTTCTTATGCTAGTCAATATCCCCCTGCAATCTTAACTTGGGGAACCAAGCTTAAGATTGGAACAATGTTTGACAAACAAAGGCCCATGTAACCCCTTTGTAAGAATATCGGCAGATTGATCTGCAGTGGGAATGTAAGAGACTTCTAAATCACCTTGTTGCACCTTCTCTCTAACAAAGTGATAATCCGTATCCAAGTGCTTGATTCGAGAGTGAAAAACCGGATTTGCACTTAATGCAATTGCAGACAAATTATCACAGTGGATAACCGGTGATGTGGGCAGAAACACAGCTAAATCTTTCAAAACTGCCCTTATCCATGCTAGATCAGCTGTAGTGTGAGCCAAGGCTTTGTACTCGGCTTCAGTAGAGCTTCGAGAGACAGACCCTTGTTTCTTGGACTGCCATGAAATGGGACTATTGCCAAGAAAAACAAGATAACCAGTCACAGACCTCCGAGTGTTCAAATCTGCAGCCCAATCAGAGTCTGAAAAAGCCTCCAGACTCGGTGTTGTCACAGCAGAATATACAAGACCATATTGAATGGTACCCTGAAGATACCTCAAGATTTTCTTCACAGCTCCAAAATGGACCTCAGTTGGTGCTTTCATAAATTGACACACTGAATTAACTGCAAACGCTATATCTGGCCAAGTAAATGTCAGGTATTAAAGAGAACTGACAATGCTTCTGTAAAATGTAGGATCAGGTAAAGGCCTTCCTTCAATGATAAGCAACGAGTTGTGTGGCTTACATGGTGTGGAGGATGGTTTACAAGAATCCATTCCAGCTTTATGAAGCAAATCTTTGATATATTTCGATTGATTGACAAAGATATCCCCATTTGAAGGATAAGAAATCTGTAGGCCCAAGAAATAGCTGAGTCGGCCCAAATCTTTCAATTCAAACACTTCGGCGAGTTCATGAATGACCTGTTGAACTTGGACAGAATTAGAGCCTGTCAAAATTATATCATCCACATAGAGAAGGAGAATGATGATATCAGCACCAGTGTTCTTTACAAACAAGCTTGTGTCAGACAATGAAGCATGAAATCCCATAGCACACAGATAGGTAGTAAACCTAGAATTCCAGGCCCTTGGTGCCTGTTTAAGACCATACAGGGATTTAACGAGTTTACAGACATAATTGGGACAGGTGGGATCAACAAAACCTTGAGGTTAGTGCATATAAACCTCTTCCTGTAAATCCCCATGCAAAAATGCATTTTTAATGTCCAATTGTTTCAACTCCCAGTGATTCATCGCTGCTATAGCAAGAATAATTCGCACAGTTGTATGTTGAACAACAGGACTAAATGTCTCGGAATAATCAATGCCATGCTCATGTGAAAACCCTTGAGCCACCAATCGAGCTTTATATCTCGATACACTACCATCAGACTTCTTTTTGACCTTGTAAACCCATTTACTACCAACCACAGATCTGTTACTTGGATATGGAACTACCTGCCAGGTCCCCTGAGCCCTGAGAGAGTCATATTCTTCCTGCATAGCTTGCTCCCAATGGGGAAGACTTGCAGCTTTTCGAAAATTCGAAGGTTCTTTAGTATCAGTGATCTCTGTCACAAAGGAATAACCACCAGAGAACACTTCATCTGCTGTAACCTGTAAAGATTGTAACTCTGGAAAAAATGTCAAATAAGCAGCATAATCTTGTTGTTGTATAGTCCCACTTTTCAATCGTGTGACCATGGGATGAATAGACACTGCATCTGGGGACATGGAATGATTGTCAGAATGTGCACTGAATTGAGGAGAAATAGGAATCACTACCTCCAGTGGGGAACTTGGGTAGACAGACAACAAGGGTGATGCATTGACTTCTGTATTGGAGTGATGATGGGATTCAGATGGTTGTGAGTATGCTGCCATTTCAGAACTAGATTGTACACTTGACACTTGCAGCTGAGAGGCTGAATCTGACATTGAAGCTGCAACTGATACTGTACTATGCACTGTAGGAATAGGCATTTGAACCATAACCACATCTTTTGATATGTTCTTAGACTGTCCAGAACGAGGACACCTTCGAGATAGATCTGCCTTATATGGAAACACTTCCTCATTGTATATAACATGCCTAGACAAGATCAATTTTCCAGTGTTCAAATCATAGCAGATTGCTCCTTTGTATTCCAAAGCATAACCCAGAAAAACACATAGTGAAGATCTAGGCTGAAACTTGTTACTGGTATATGGGCGCAGGAAGGGATAAATGGCAGTGCCAAAGACTTTAAAATTGTGAATATCTGGTGTGTGTCCAAACAACCTTTGATAAGGAGACTGAAATTCTAAGACCTGAGATGACATTCTGTTAATTAGGAAAACTGCATGCGCACAGGCATGATACCAGAACATTTGAGGCAAACTTGCTTCTGTCATTAAAGTAATGGCAGTTTCTACTACATGACAATGTCTCCTTTCAGCAATACCATTCTGCTGAGGAGTATAAGGACAGGAAATCATGTGTGAAATACCCTTACTTTCTAGAAACTCCTTAAACTGTTTACTCATATATTCACCTCCCCCATCAGACTGAAAACACTTAATTGAAGCATGAAACTGATTAAGCACAAACGCAGTGAACTTCACAAAAATTGAACAAGCTTCTGATTTATTAATCATAGGAAAAATCCACATGAATCTGGAAAATTCATCTACAAAGGTAATGTAATACTTATATCCTTCTATAGACTGAATTGGAGATGGTCCCCATACATCTGAATGGACTTTCTCAAACAAACACTTAGCTTTATTCTGTCTTACTGGAAAAACTTGTCTACACATTTTTCCTTGTACACAAGAAGAACACAAAGTTGGACAAGAATCTTTAGTTGTACTAATTTCAGCAATCTTCAACATTCTAGCTAAAATGTCCCCTGATGGATGTCCTAGCCGTTGATGCCAAATTGCAGTCCTTACTTTCTGTCCCAAGAATGCAGCACATCGACTCAACCTTGTAGCTAATGAGTTATCAAAAACAGTGACTGGAATCTTGAAAAGTTCCCCATCATCACTCCTTCCGTGGTACAAAGTCACCCTTGTTGCTTTGTCCTGTAGAAAGAAATCCACACCATCACAAATAAACCAACAGCCATTATCTTTGCATAACATCTTAATAGAAATAAGATTGGCAGTAATTTGAGGCACATGCAAAACATTATGCAGAAGTAAAGCATTATTTGGAGTTGTAATTGTAGAAGAACCAATGTTCTTGATTGCCAAACCTTCACCATTTCCAATTGTTATCTTCTCATCACCATTGTAAGAATTGACTTGAGAGAGTGCATGAATATTGGAAGTCATGTGATGTGTAGCTTCTGTGTCAAGAATCCAAGTATCCCCAGCAGAGTCGCCATGTCCATTGTTCTGTGGTGTATTATGTCCAATATGAGCATGTGCAGTCATAGCAGCCAAAGAAGAAGGTGGTGGAGTACCCTGATAAGCAAAATTACTGCGATGATAACATTCCAGTGCAATATGTCCTCTTTTCCCACAAATCTGACAAGCAAGAAATCCAGAATTTCCAGTGGCAGCTCTGTGATAGCAATTAGCTGCTGTATGTCCCCTCCTAGAACATATTTGACACTCAGGTGACACCCCAGATCTGTAAGATGTATTGCCATTCCAGGTATTACTCTTGTGAAAACCATTACCAGAGAAACTACTTCCATTCTATGACTGAACACTTTTACCATTACCAGAAAAATTGTTATTAAAACTGCCATTGTTCCCTCTGGGACCAGATAAATTTCCATTACCAGAAAAGTTTCTTGAACCATTAGTACTTCGATGATCAAAATTCCCATTGTTATAATTGCCATTATACCTCCTATTACCCCCTGAGAAATTGGTCTTCTGAACAAACCTGTCACCATTCCCCACAAAACCTGAACCACCATGAAATGCATTGGAATGGTCACCACCATACTCCCCTTGAAATCTGTGAGAATTGGAACTTTCCCCAACTTCAAAACCAGTATGATTATTCTGAAAAGCACTGGAGCCAGATCCATCTCCCTGAACATACATTGCTGCCATAGATGTAGTCAAAGACTTCATTCGGGATTCAATATTAGCCTCTGCCCCAAGAAGTTGAGCCCTCAAATCTTTATATGAAATAGGAAAATCCCGAGCCAATATCACAGTCTTTATCATCTTAAACTCAGGAGGTAGGCCAGAGAGCACAGCTATAAGAAAATCATTCTCAGTGATCCTTTCTCCAACAGACACTAGTTGATCCTTAATGGCTTTAACCCTCAACAAACATTTATCCACAGATTCCCCACCTTTTTGGATAGTATGAAACTCACTTTTCAGTTGATTGATTCGAACCATAGAGACAAACGCAAATCTTTCTTGTAAACAGGTCCACGCCTCACACGCAGTCTTACTACCAATAATGTGTTCCATAACATCATCAGATAGTGTAGCAATAAGAAGACTTAACAACGCTAGATCCTTCTTCACCCAATCTTTATATGCCACCATAATTTCAGTTGTAACTCCTGAGTCTGTATCAATAACAAATCTCGGAGGACATGGATCTACACCCGTGAAATGGTCAAAAAGATCATATCCACAAAGAACAGACTGGAACTGGAAACTCCATTTAACAAAATTGTCATCCTGAAGCTTTACCGTAAGCATCCCAAACAACCCTTTAATCTTAACAGTAAACGCCATTTGAAAACCAAACACCTTAACAAAATATGACCTTGACACCTAAATATACTACCCTTCTTTGCCAATGGCTATCGGCCTCTTTCCTTCTTTGACAAACAAGCACGTTTCACAATCAAACAATGGCTATTGGCCTCTTACGAACTCAAAAAATTGCTATCGGCCTTTAATCTTGCTAACAATGGCTATCGGCCTTCAAATTCATAGAAATAGAACACACACTCTTCACCTAGAATATATCACAAACAGATAGTGTGCAATACGAAAACAGAAACCAAGAACCTGGTATGAACGAACCCCTTGACCCTTTTTGACAGAGAAAAGCAACCAGCATCAATCAACTCTCGCAGTTCTTTAATCTTCAGCGGAAGAAAACGGCACCCAGAATCGTCCGAGCGATTGATACCATGATAACAGTGTTCTTGATATATAGCACCAAGGAAACCAGAAAATACGATAGAGAAGAGTGAGAAAGAATGATAGAAAATAGAGATAGAGAGAAATGATATATTTGTGTATTACAATCTTATCTTTCCTTACAAGATCTTTCACACTTATATACACAAGTGTTATCTTATCTCTTAAGCTTTTTAACAACCCAACTCTAACTAACTAACTGTCTTTTATATCATTTTTACATATTTTGACCTTGACCATACTACCCTTCTTATGCTAGTCAATATCCAGAAGGGGCTGTACCGTGGGTTGACTTTGATCCTTCTTTCCAAACTTCCAAATGGGGAATTGGTTGAGTACCAAGAAAAATTCGAGACGTCTCCGTTGGAGGAAGAGTTAATATTAGATGTTGTCAAGCTGAATCGTGAACAAGTGCAGCAGGAGATGAAGGTTCCACTGCACATATTTGCGCCGGCAAGTCTCGAAAAAAGAAAACCAAGAGAAAAAGACGATGATGATGATGCAGCATTTCCTGAGAAAAGTTTGAAGAGAATCCGTTCGGATTGATCATCGGCTTCAATTAAATAGAGAGGATTGCTTGAGGAAAGATGATGAAGCTTGTAATTTGTCAACTTCACCTGCACTTGATAAGATCACTTTATGTATTTCACTGTCATTCATACTATCTCAATCCGGCTTGGTCTGTGTTTGTCTTATTTTTTCTTTGTTTGATGCGTAAGTAGTTGCCCTAGCACATAGGCGCATGCATACCCCATGCAGACTTTGACATCGAGAAGAAATGCATTGTTGTATTTGGATGGTGGCGATTTTCGACATGACACGATTAGCATGTTAACTACATTGTAAAATATAAAGTTGGTACATGAGAAAAGAAAGATGATAGAGAGAAAACTAGAAAGATTGTATTGATTGAATTGATGAAATGTATACAAATGAACTTCATGAAATACTAGCTATACAATCCCTTATATAGCCATATATTCCAATTACAATAATACCCCTCTAACTATATTTCTGTTATATCAGTTATTACCCCCCCTCAAACTAAACTTGGAGTATCCAAGTGAAGTTTGAGCTAGCCAGATATTTTGAGACTGATCTGGAGTAAGTCTTCAAGCTTTGGGAAGGTGACAATTACTCTGATAGTAGGAACCACTGGGATAGCAACCTTGACTGGAAACGTACCCATTGGCAGCTTTTCAACAGGACATTTGAGAACAACTTCCCATTCTCCAACTATTTGAATCCTTTCCAGTGATTTGTGGCGTACCTTCTTCATCTGGACCTTTTGAAATTTTCCATACAAAGCCTCTTATAAAATTGTAACACACCCTCAGGCCGGTTATAACAACTTCTTGCGGGATTACCCTTCGTGGGATTTACCGTCAACAACTTCATTTAACATTGGCTTCGGCCTTTAAACAGAAAAATAACAAACTATAGTGTGGCATCGGCCTTAACTATAGCACCACGGGATCGCCCTTTGTGGATTTTACCAAAATACAACTACTCTTAACAGTGGCATTGGCCTTCACAATTTCAACAACAGAAAATCAACAGCTATGTAGGATTACCCTTCGTGGGATTTACCTACTTACATCACGGAATTACCCTTCGTGGGATTTACCGTTTACAACTTCATCAAACTTCATCGTATAACCGGACTTACTGTAGATTCATGCTAACAATTGAGTTGGTTAGACTCGACATTATAGGCTGTAATAAGGAAAATACTGCACCACTCCTCAGTTAGCTGCTGAACAATCTTCTTAGACATTACAGTTCTGAATTTTGACACAAACCACAATCGGAACAACCACAAAATTGTACATACCAGAATGCAAGAATTCACACGCATTTTTCCAAATATATCAAGAGTTGCAGAAAGATCAAACCCAATAACCTTGCAGACCATCAGTGAAGCAGAGAAAGAATTGGACACCACCATACAAATTGCACAATCCATCAATAACCAATATTCTTGAATCCAAATATCACAAACATAGAAAGTAAGCAGAAGTGGCTGAAAAACTTAACCTTCTCGAAAATTCTGAGCTTGGCATTTCGGCAAACACTTGGGCTGCACATAACCAGACTACCAGACTACCAGAAATTGAACCAACCAGACTACCAGAAATTGAACCAAAACCAAATCTTTAAGCCTCCACAATTAACAATTCTTCAAGAAACCGACGAGCAAACTAGTTGACGATGACAATCGGCCTTGGAATTCATCAAACATAAAGAAATTCTCACTGACACAAATCAACAAACAGGTAGAATGCACAGACCTTTACTTTACTGAAACCCCATAATTCTAGAACCAAGAAACTCCACCAAGAACCAATCAAGAAATTCTCGGTCACAATTTTCATAACCCAAAATGCAGCAGAGATTTTGGTCGCCTTACTCCTCTCGGGTACCTGAAGATCAAGCTTTTGCGACTGTCAGCGGCGGCGCAGCTTCGCAGCAGCAGCAGCCACAACTGAAGCACCACCACAACAGAGCCAGCGCGGATGAACTCCCCGTCTACGACCCGCGATCCAGCACGGGAAAGAAAGAGGGTTCTTCAAGATCGGTGGAGAAGTGGGTCCATGCCATTCCGGTGATCGTGTTCTTCTGCCTCTTCGTGCTCTGGTGGTTCTCCGTCTCAGTAAAAGTGGCAGAATCTGTCTTTGATCGATTTCTTGGTGAACGAGCGAGGTGTGCATCCGATGATGGCGGAGAGGAGAGAAGAAGCCTCACCGCTTCAGGCCAGGAACTGTGGCGCTGAGAGAGATCAGAAAGTATCAGAAGAGCACCGAGCTCTTGATCCGCAAGCTGCCATTCCAAAGGCTGGTGAGGGAGATCGCCCAGGACTTCAAGACCGATCTGAGGTTCCAGAGAAGTTAACATAGAAAGAAAGGAAGAAAGGGCACATGTATTACGAATAAAGAAATACGCGGAAACGAAAGAAAGTAATGAAGACAGATAGAAGAGGAATCGACCACCAAGATCCATGGGAGCTGGGGCTCTGAACCATGTTATACTTGTAAAATATAAAGTTGGTCTGAGAAAGATGATGAGGCGATTGTATTGATTGATTGACATGTTACAAACTCAGAATCTGCTATCATCCTTCATATAGCTATTCCAATTACAATACCCCGTAACTATTTTCTGTTTATCAGTTATTACCCCCCTTCAAATAACTTGGGTATCCAAGTGAAGTTTGGCTCTATGTTGAGACGATCTGGAGTAAGTCTCAAGCTTTACTAGGAATTTCATGCCGATTCGTTTAGAGGAGTAGTTTTTTGTTTGGTGATTTCGTATATTTACAGAATGGTTCTATGGAATTACAGATATTCACTCAAATTGTTACGATCCATAAGAGAGTGGAATCCTTTTCGTGTTAGATTATTAAGAACAAGTGAAGCAAAGTTGACTTGAATTGATTAATGGGGTAAAAACCCAGATTCAAACATTTCCAATGGGAATCGAAAATCAAAAGTAAAGAAAAAAGAAATTAAAGATCCCTTGTAAATCATAATATATCCAAAATCCGCATTCGACGGAGGAAAAAACTTCACCCAAAAGCCCAACCACTGCCTCCGCCTCTTTATTTACTTGGGAAAACGTTCTCTTTCACTCCTCCACAGCAAGAGGAACAGACGCCGCCAGCTTGCTGTACTTGAGGGCGTAAAACATCTCCAGATAGCGGCGGCTCTCCAGGCGATCAAGTTTTGAAACATGCTTCCAGAAGCCATAAACTCCGGTGAGGGTCAGGAGCCTCTGAGAGTAGATTTGCCATGTGTACCTAAACAAAAACAGAGCAAATACGTAAGATAACTTGCAAGGCAAGCAACATAATTTACCGTGAAAATAGGGATTTGATTTTGCTTACTTCTCATAAATGCGCTGCAAGCCGGCTTGAGAAATCTTGTCCCAGTGGCTAGGATCTGCTTTGCTCTTCTCAAAGAAATCAACAAGGATCTCAGCAGCTTGATCGCCGTGATATGGATCAATGTGGTAGCCAGATTTGCCATGCACTATAATTTCAGCCGGGCCACCCTTGCAAGTGGCAAATGTGGGCAGTCCACAAGTCATGGCCTCAACGACAGTCAAGCCGAAAGCTTCATACACAGCAGGCTGCACAAAGGCGCCCTTGGTGTCACAAATGTAGCGGTAAAGTTCACCATTCCTGACACGGTTCATCTGGGAAGAAATCCATCTGAACTGCCCGTTCAGCTTGTAGGTGTCGATAAGCTCATACATCTTCTTCATCTCATCCTTCTCCTCATTGTCCTTGGACTCCTTGCGGCGATCACCAGCAACTACAACCAGGTTAACCAACTCTCTGAGCTTGGCATTCTTACCATACCACTCGACAAGCCCAGTGATGTTCTTCACGCGGTCCAGCCTTGCCATTGTGAAGATGATTGGCTTGTTTCTGTCCTTCAACACACATCTGTTCGAATAACAAATATAAACCCATTAGTACATATTTGAACGGAAGATGAAATGAGCAAAAATAACCGCGGCAACAAAATGAAGTGGAAACTTACAAGTGTTCCTTATTTTCGACTTGGCTGTAAAGGAGCTCTTCGATTTCAGGGTGGAAGTTAGTCAGCCTCTTTTCTTTCTCAGTGTAAGGGAAGTAGACGCTCATATCAGCTCCTGGTGAAACAATGTTGAACTTGGGATCGAAGACATCAATACCATGAACAACACGGTAGAGCCCAGGAAGAGTAAAAGCAGTGTGGCTCTCATACTGACCAACAGTTTCTTTGCTGCAAACATTCATAGAACACAAATTTAGGATCCAAAAGATGTGACAGGTTGAATGTACGAAAAAATCTAATGCCAGGTGATATTATTACCTTCCAGCAATCTCTTGATAGGTACTGGTGATGATGAAATCAGTGTGGTTCATGGCGATAAGATCAGCTGTAAATTGACATGAGAAGTGATAACTGTCATCCAATTTCTTCCAGTAAAGGTCAGAATCAGGGTATTTTGACTTCTCGAGAGCATGAGCAATGGTGCACTGCAGGACCAACAAAAACCGAACAATGAATTTAGCAACTAAGATGCAAAAGTTATCAAATCGGAATCACAATTCACAAACCTGTGTAACACCCAATTTGAGTGCCATCAGTGAGGCCACAATGTTGCCATCACTGTAGTTTCCGATGATGAGATCAGGCTTGCCATGCATTTCCTTGGAAAGTTCCTTGATCGCATCCTAATAACACAAAAATCGGTATGCATTAAAACCAAATACAAGCAAAAATTGGAATATGTCAGTGAAGGAAAAAAAATATGGAAACTGATATATATATTAACAGAGAAATTCACCTCGGCGTATGTCTCTAGGTAGGGCCAGACTTCGAATCTTGAAATCCATCTGCGGACAATGGCTCCTTTCTCATCTCTGAATGGAACACGAAGAATATCTGAATGCTCAGTCCCGTATACTTTCTCAAGTCGATCACCACATGTGGTTCCAACGGCATCAGGAAGAAGCCTTGTGAGCTGTGTTTAAAACATAATCAAAGCATCAGAATGGAGAGCATAAAATAAAATCACCAAATGACATAAATTTCGGAGCCACAAAATTTCAGATAAACTCACAATGATAATGCGGGGTATGATGTCCAGTCCCTGTTGCTTAACACGCTTGAGCATCTCAGCCTCCAATGCGCGAACTTGATCCAAGATATAGACAACCTGGCCACCGGTGTCAGGGTACCCCAAGACATTGTCTTGGGCGAAATAGCCGTGGGGGGAGAGGATCACAACATTAAAGACCATGGGGATTTGGTCAAGGAATTTCTCAAGAGTGCAAGGATCGGGTGCCTCAAGAAGGTCCAACAGAAGTTGCATCATTTCGAGCACACGCCCAGCAGTGTCACCCCAACCCCTTTCCAAGCCAATGGCTTGCAACTTCGGCTCGAACTCCTTGTACGGAGTTTCCGGGGCAATTGCAGATAGGAAATCCTCTGACTTCCTCAGAACATGTTGTAGCTCATTCACATCGTTAATTTTGTTATTCAGCATCAGGTTCTGCACGAAAATGCCGATCAAATTAAATACAGAGATCAGCAAAGCTGCACAAGAGTACTAATATCATTCACAATCAAAGATGGTAAAGTTGAAAATGAGAGGAAATCATACCCTGCCCTCGTAGCAGTGAACACGGAGAAACTTGAGCAGCGGGTGCAGGCTCTCCTTGTCATGGAAGAGCTTTGCAGAAAGGTGGCGGTTGAGGAACTCAACACCGTTTCCAATGGACTTGGAAAGAGTTGGGCGGGGGAAGGAGGCGTTGAATGGCTCAAAGTCCAACTCGAGCACAAAGTTGCCATTGGCACTGCAATTGAAACCAACACAAATTATTAACATCACAGACAGAGTTACAGACGGGTTTTATTCTACAATGCGATATTCTAAACTACTCTAATGAGTCCAATCTACGAACTCCAGCACAAGTAACAAACAATTAAGAACCAAATCGAAACTTTGGAAATCAAAATATAAAAAGACCCAAAATCTACCTTCCATCAACAAGTTCCTCCTTGAATTGCAAGTACTCAGCCACACGTAACTCCTCGACAACGAGAGCATGGACATTCACACGAATGTACTCCCAAACACCAGGCCTTGGGCGGACAGCAAGCGCCACCCATGGGGGCAGAACAATTACCTCCTACATTGCACAAAACATCCACAAATCGTTCAGAAAACTCCTAAAAAACACAGAAACAAATGATGTATAATCGAAAATGTTTACCTGGGTGTTCTTCAAAACTTCACCAAAAGCCCCATCCAACAGCTTCCGCCTGTTCGTTTCAGGAATCTCTTCGAACTCGGCAAGAAGCTGATGGGGTTGCAGAAACCCTTTCCCCTTTTTCTCAATCCTAAAACCCCAAAAACCGTTTTAGTGATCAAACCAAACAACAACCTCAACAAATACAAAAGACAACAACTTTTTGCATGTTTTGAAACATTAGACAAAAACCCATTCGTGATCACAACGTAGTAGTACCTTGAAAGAAGGGCCAGAATCTCATTGCGGTGAGCAGAAAGGGTTTCGTCCAGCCTCTCCCGGAGACTCTGGACGCGGGTCAGCACACGTTCCGCCATCGACAGCAGCTTGGAAAATCAGACAACCTTAAAAGCTGCAAGAAAAAGCAAAACTGTAACCATAACAAGTCATCCAGAAAAAGTCAACAAATCAAACCTTAAATAAGACTAAAATCATGTAAATAATAATATTACTATTAATATTCTGGAAGACACAGATTTTATTTTTCAAAACCAAACCACCACCATCCAACAACGACTGTTCAAAAGGTTCATCTAAGATTTGCAACCATAAATAGTGCTAAAGAATAATGGAAAAAGGATTTGCAGAGTATTCTGTAGAAGCAAAAGCACTGATAATTTTTAATAATTAGATCCTCAGAAACATTTAAGAGTTTAAACCCCACCATTAAATAAATTAATAATCCAGGCTTATCGTAATTAAGGGCTCTTAACAAGGATATTTATGGGGCATTAGTCAAAGTTGATAAGACCAACCAGATGAAAAATTAAAAAACCATATTTTCCTTTTGCTTGTTGGAGTAGAAAACCCAACACATCAAAAGATAAGAACAGATTTTTGTATCTTGAACAAAAATAAAAACAGCGATCTACACGAAAACAGAGCAAAAACCCATAAAACAAAATCTAACCCAAAAGTAAGAAGCCATTGATCCATGCGAAAATGTAACAAAAATTCGAGAAAAAACATCATTCGGCCTAAGAAAAACCACCCAAGAACAAGAAACATAGATAAAGTAAAAAATGGCGAAATGAAAAGGAGTACCTAGAGAAAGATCGGTGGGAGAAGGAAGATGATTTGATGAACACAGACGGAGGGGAGTTTTATAGTGAGGGGAGCGCGAAAAAATATGGTAAGA